GGGAGAAGGAGAAGGAGGAGGGCAATGGCTAGTTTCAAAGAGAGGTGTTCGAAGGATTCAAGCCTGCCCTTCAGCATGGATGCAGGGTATCAGATTTCTGGTTGGCTCCTGTGAGAATAGGATGCTAGACCAGATGGGGCATTGACTTGATCCAGCAAACTCATCTTATGTTCTTAAACTTTAGAGGTGAGAATGGGCTGAGGCTACCCATTGTTGAGAGAGACACTGCATGTTTTTCAGAGGGATTCTTCCTGAATATTGCTTTGTACTATCCAGGACTGAGCCCTGAAATTCAGCCCAGGCCCCTGAGGCCCCTTTCCTTAGATAAAGACTGGGATCCAAATTTGGCTCTCTTAACTCTAGATACATCGTGACCTAAATATGCCAGTGAAACACTTTTAAAAACAACAATAACAAAAATCTCACATTTTAAAGGCTCCTCTTGCACAAAAACCCACACCTATCTGTCTTAAATTTGTCAGGTTCCGCCCCTCCTCTGAAAAGGCAACCAAACCTGCAAATTTAATCCATTTCTGCAAATAAATAGAAAGACAAAAGGCTGTAGCTTATTTTTCACTCTCCATTTTAGTCAATGGACTGACCTGTGAAATGCTGGGCTTTCCAAAGTGGGGCTATGTATGCTTGGAATCCATTTCTGATCCAAACCAAAGTGAGAGGACAGTCTGAACTGGGAAATTACCTATTAAAACAGTGAGATGCTTCTTGCTACAGTTTTTATGTCTGCGTCTCTTCCTTTGACCTTCTTTTACCAACTATGCTATTCCATCTCTCTCTCTCTCTCTCTCTCTCTCTCCCCTCTCTCTCTCTCTCTCTCTCTCTCTCACACACACACACACACACACACACACACACAGTTTCCAGGCCCCCTGCTCTTAATCAATCAGCAAACCACGGCCACTGATTCTTCACTGGACATCATTAGACCTTTTTCTTGGTTACCCCAAGCCTGCTGCTACTTCCCCACATGTGGGCAATGCCATTTGGTCTACATTTGCACAAGAAGACTTCAATCAGAAACAGAGGAAATGATATACATAAAAGGAGAAAATAGAGACTGAATATGGATAGTTACTGAGAAGGGGATCGCTTAGGGATTAGATAAACCCTCCCCAACCTAGCACTCTCCACATATTTTGGACTACAACTCCCATTAGGCCTGGCTAGTGTGGTCAATGGTGAGGGATTATGGGAGTCATAGTCTGGCAACATCTGGAAGACACCAGGTTGGAGAGGCTGGGCTAGAAGGGGAAGAGAGTAGAGAGATAATCTTTTCTCGCTCATCATTCTTTGTATGTCGTTTCTCAATGCTCAAAGCAGCTCACAACTTCAGAAGGAATTACATAATAAAATATAGCAAGCTTTCAAAATAATTCACCAACAATTACAAGACAATTACAAGACTTAAATAGCCATATGAATGTTTACAGTTTAATCAAAACATCTCATATTAATAAATAGACACTAAGATTACACAGTCTGCTAATACTCCATCTGTCCCTCTGCCTTGGGCATCAGCAGCTTTTTCAAAACTTCTGAAAAGATGGAATGTTAATAAACACACCACCACAACACCTGAGCCAATGGCTAGGGAAATTTCCTTTTAAACAACCAAAGCCATAGTATCAGAACTGCAAGTCCAAGATGAATCTGACTGTCAGCAGAGCCTCACAGGTCGGAAGCACTTGTTCACACACTGTCTAATTAACTTAAGGAATTCACTGTTGTAAGAGGTGATGATAGCTATTAGCTCGGATGGCTTTTTATAGAGTTATTAGAGACACTCATGGCGGAGAGATTTGTCAAACACTAAGCAGTGATGACTCTTTAATGGAACCTCCACAAGCAAAGGAAGTATGTCTGTTATTGGGGCTAGGATTACCATCATGTCCTGCCTGGGATCTCCCAGAGGTATTTGATGAGCTGCAGACAAAATATCAAACTGATCTTGGCCTGATCCAGCAAAGCAAATGTTCATGTTTTGATAAGTACCCAAGAGCCCTAGTAAAGGCCTCTTTGCTATTGCTGCCTGGGCATTAAGTGGTATAAATAAAGTGTTTCTCTTTGTTCTCTTTCATAGTTAGTTGGAAATACACAAGGAAAAGCAGAAAATGAATTGAAAATAAAAGTTCCGACATACAAATCTATGGTGCAACTGTATTTTGGAACACTGTATACACTTCTGGTTACCTCACTCCCCGAAAGGATATTATAGAGTTGGAAAGGGTTCAGAAGAGGGCAAGCAAAATGATCAAGGGGGTGGAGTGACTTGCTTATGTGGAAAGGTTACAGCATTTGGGACTTTTTAGTTTAGAGAAAAGGCAAGTAAGAGGCAAAATGGCAAGAGGTGTATAAAATTAGGACTCCTGGATAGTTTAGTCCAGTCGAAGGCAACTATGGGGTTGCAGCGCTCATCTCATTTTCAGGCCAAGGGAGCTGGCGTTTGTCCACGGACAACTTCCAGGTCATGTGGCCAGCATGGCTAAACTGCTTCTGGCGCAATGGAACACCGTTAAGGAAACCAGAGCGCACAGAAACGCTGTTTACCTTCCCACTGCAATGGTATCTATTTATCTACTTGCACTGGCGTGCTTTCGAACTGCTAGGTTGGCAGAAGCTGGGGCAGAGCAATGCAAGCTCACCCCACCATGGGGATTCGAACCGCTGACCTTCCGATCAGCAAGCCCAAGAGGTTCAGTGGTTTGGACCACAGCGCCACCCGCATCCCTCAAAATTATGTGTAGTGTGGAGAAAGTGGATAGAGAAATTATTTTCTCCATCTCTCATAACACCAGCACCTGTGGACATTCCATGAAGCTGAATGTCGGAAAGCGATGCACAATCAAAAGAAAGTAGCCCATCACACAGTGCAAAGCTAAACAATGGAATTTGCTCCCACAGGAGGCAGTGTTGGCCACCAACTTGGATGGCTTTAAAAGAGGATTAGACAAATTCATGGATGATAAGGTTATCAATGGCTACTAACCCTGATGACTGTCATCAACTTTCACTGTTGGAGGCTTCACTCAGGTCCTGCGAGCTTCCCATAGGCATCTGGTAGGCCCCTGTTGAGGCTGGGTTGATGGACTAGATGAGCCTTTAGCCTGACCAAGCAGGACTCTTATGTTCTTATGCGTGATTGCCCCACCACTGTGAGCAGTCACAGCCAGCCTGCACTCACATCTCTAAGCACCAGTTCCAGGCAGTCCTGAACCTCTCTTGCTATAAATTAAGCACCCTCTTCTTCTAGGGGGCCAAGCAACAGGTTACACATGTAACTGTAGACCAGGGGTGCCTTTGTGCAAAGCCACTTCCAGAAAGGGTGATACAAAGCAGAGATGGCTGTGGGGAGGCAATTGTTAACCCTTTCCCTGCTCCAAATTATAACAAACAAAAATCCTTAACAAGGTTTTCCATCCATGGAGTTCAAAGCCTTCTGTGGAGACGGGATTTTGAGTGAGGAAAGGGCTATTCACCCCTCCCCATATACTCCACTAGTCCACACGCCAAGCTTCCTCCTTATAGAAGCAGCTTTTCTCTTCAGAAGGGGCTGCTAGGCTGCAGCGCAACCGATAGCTTGGCCCTAGTTTATCAGCATCCTACAGCGTGACCATTTCTCCCTATCATCCTTCTAGCAAGGCGAATCCTTTCCAGGGGGACAAAACACTCTTAGCCTTCTTAAAATCAGGAATCTCTAAGAGGCTGAAATCTTATCACCCGTATCATCCTCACACTCGACATCCTGAGAACATGTGATAGGCAGAAAAGCTTCGCACTTCCACCTGGCGTTGGAGGCCATCTTCTTTTGTTTGTTTCAGAAACACAGCAAGGTTATCAGCCAAAAGCTGGAGAGCTGCGCTGATAACCTCTCACAGATTTATCTCCATTCCGAAAATAGCAGGCCGGTGGGGTGACAACGGTGCCAGCTGTCATTTTCAATGAAGCACCTGATGACTAGAGAAACCTCACTGTGAAGGAGGCAGCCAATTGCTCCCTGGCTGGGCGTGGAAGTAGGAAAGCAAGCCACATCCTGCAACTGTTAGCCATCTGAACTTTTGGCAAAGCTTCAGATGCCCTGCAGGGAATACAGTCTGCTGTGTGTATACACGTACGTACACATGTACACACACACACACACACACACACACATTTTTGATGTATTTTTATAACAACAGATTGTGGGGTTTATTTATTTCGCTTCTCTTTCCTCCCCCCACCACCATATGCTCAACTATTCTGAGTTAGCTGATGAAATATGACTGCCTCCAGAATTCACTTACTGTATATTTACTGCCTGCCCTCGATGTATGTACGGCAGCATGAGTGGAAGGGAACTAGAACTAATCTAGTTAAGTGGCAGGGGGACGGGTTCAGTGCGACGTTCGCAAGATTTGATGCTGCATAAAGGCATGTCGCTCTCAGCTTGAGGCACAGAGGCGAAGTGTGACCACCATAAAGGCTACTGATTGATAGAGACTGGCCAGTGGTCTCAAGCTCAGCATAATTTTTCTAAAACAACCACCACACCCTTTGGCTTCAAAGAAGAGTTAAGACACTTATACATTCACTCATGCACCGAAAATTCAGGTGCTCACTTTACATTCTGCACCATTTAAATGGCAAATGTGTTTGACTGTCTGAAAGAATGCTCTTTACTGACTGCCAGTTGCCCTAGGACCACAGAGCGGAAAGGAAGCACACTCTTGTCCTAGTGTGTGGATTGCGGGGTTGTGTGTGCAATACACCTTGAGGATTGTTCGATGAAAAGGAGGAATAAAAATATTATAAATTAATCATTCAATGAACGTTTTAAAAATCCATCCTCACATGTTGTGCTTGCTTTACCACTTAGGCTGTGTCCACGCTCGTGTTTACTCTGCATCCACTGCAATTCCTGGTTTGGGAATGTCAAAGAATCATAGACTCATAGAGTTGGAAGGGACCACGTGGATCATCTAGTCCAACGCCCTGCAATGATATTTTGCCCAACGTGGGGCTTGAGCGCACAACCCTGAGATTAAGAGTCTCATACTCTACCAACTGAGCTATCGTTTGTGGTATTTGCCACAATCCATATTTGTCCTCCATGATGTATCCACCCTGTTGTTTCTTATGAAATACAACCTTCTGATGCATCTTTTCCTCCCACACTCTGTCCGGCACCAGCTTGGATCTGAACTGAGAAAAAGAATGACCTAGCTTGGTTTTAAGCAGGTATTGTGCACACAGGCATAGCCTCCACACTTCCCTGAGTCACTTGGTCCCATTCCTTCTGCAGCACAAAGATGCACAACATCACAACACTGTGCAGACATGTGCAGCAGCATCTCATGCAAAAGGACATGCCACTCACGTGCACATACAGCAACATGACATCTACAGATATTGGAAGCAGCATGTCTCATGCAAATACACACAGATGCGGCAATTCCTTTCTCCCTCACTCAGATATGCAGTGCTGCAACCTGCTTGCTCTGGCAATAATCATTTTTCTTTTGGGATGCAGGCTCCACCAAGGGAGCGTCAGCCTGACAAATGCACCATGTTGCACTGACTGCCCTTAGTTCGGGGGCATAGAAGCTGCAGCTCTCTGTTGGACTCCAATTCCTATGAGCCCCAGCCAGCATGGTCAATAGTCTGGATGATGGAAGTTGTAGTTCAGCACCCTTGCCTTAGTTGAATGACTAGTCTAAGGGTTTATCCACACTTAGCTTTCCTCCACACTGTCCAGGCACGGTCCATGCTTTAAAGCTCACTGTCCAAGCACTCTCTCTCTTTGCTCCAGAGCTTTTGCACTTTCCCGCTAAATCAGAGCAAATGGCAATCTTTGGAAAACCTAAGGATTTGATGTGGCTTCAGCTTTAAAGAGCGGGTTTTGGTGGGGAAAGCTCTGGAACGGAAAAAAAGAGTGTTTGGACACCGAGTTTTAAAGTACAGACCTGTGTCTGGAAAGCATGGGGCAAAAGTTCAGTGTAGATAAGCCCTAAATGACAAAAAGCTAAAATTTAAGATACATTTTTAAGTGAGCAGAGAAAAACAGTTACAAACATGGGACGCTGGCTTTTCAATACAAAAAAATAAATAAATCAAAACTGGTATAACTTTGTTATTCTTCTGCAAAATTTACTCAGATTTGGTCACTCATAGGATAAAGCCTTTGCATGGATACAGCAAATCCTCTTGATATAGGATGGTCATCAATCATGTATGATTTAGCTGAGATTCCTGCATTGCAGGGGTTGAAATAGATGACCCTCGCAGTCACTTCCAACTCAACAATTCTATGATTCTATCATTCTATGTGTGGGATTTATAATAACAGAATACTGAAAAAGCTACTGGCCTTAACTGCAGAAGTGTAATTACAGTGTGATTAAAACAATAACAGTTTACACCAATAAGAGCATCACTAAAGTACATTATAAAAACAGTCATGGAGTCTCCCACATCATCCAATCACAATAATGGTTAATATCACAAAAATATCTGGGCAAACAGACCAGTTTCTGCCTGGTGTTGGAATGCCAAAAGCACCAGTGTGTCGTGGATTGGCTGGATGAAGAGGAGGGGGAGGGACCAGCTAAAGAACTCCCAAGGGAACTCCCAGGGAAAGAAGGCTCAGAGCCAGGAGATTGGTGGTGGGACGATGATGAGTGGTCAGAGGGAGCAGAATGGGAGAAGGATAGGTTGGAAGCTAAAGAGGTAACAGGGTTTAGCGAGCAGGAAGAGGCTGTGGTAGAGGCAGGGTCAGAGACAGAAGTGGAGGCTGGAGTGGAGGGGGGGCAGATTGCTGAAGAAGCCAGGGAGTCTCCCACTCCTGCTGCAACCAGCTTCCCTCCTGCCTGGTCTCCCAGAACACACAGAGCAATGCAGAGGGTAGAACAAAGAGTGACAAGGCGAAGGAGCCTCAGGTTGCTGGGGAAAGACCTCAGGGAGGAGTCTTAGAGAGTCGTGGAAAGGCAGGGACCTTCAGTCCTTGCAACAGTCTCATCGGGGCAAGGCTTACTGGAAAGAGCGGCTGTGATCACTAGGTTGCACTGTTTTGGTTTCTTTGAATAAAGAATTAACTTCACTGACACCAGGTGTTTTATTGCTGACCTGCTCCTGACTCTGGCTCCTGACACAGTGCTTTCAGATGGAGGGCATGTCACAGTGCCACCACAAGAGAAGTACTGCACCTGCAATTCTAAAATAAGAGATAACTTGCTGGAGTCCAGCATTCTTTGCATTCATAGTGGCTGACTCGATGATGATGATGATGAAGAAGCAGATAAAAAATAAATTGCTTAATAAGCATACACCAAAATTCAGGTGAAATTGAATCTGCAGACAGATTTTGCCAGGGAAATTCACCCTGAGAAATTTGTTTCTGCTGCATCAGAAGTAAATAATAGAGCATCTAGCGGAAAGCCCTTCTACGGCCTGAGGAGTTAACCCTTCATTCTCCGGCAGCAAAGCCCCCTCTCCAGATGAGGACTGCTGGAGGATGGTCACGAGAGAGCTTGTCTTGCTTTCAGACCTGTCACATTCAGTTGAATAAGAATGCAAAGTTTGTTCTTTCTTCCCCCTGCCTCGCCTGTGCGAGGTCAGCAAAGGCCTCTCCATGTTCTCACAGCCTTAAACAGAATTGACTGGCACTGCTGCCAAAACAGGCGGGAGAGTCTCAGCCAGAGATGGATGGTGCATATCAAAGCAACGGCCTGCAAAAAAATATCACTGCGCCGGATCTGTGTCACGCTGCAGAATGACAATGCATGGTTATGACTGCTTTCTAAGCAGAGGATTTGCAAATGTTAGGGCTCGCTGCTCTTCTGCTGCTGATTCACACCTGCAAACAGGAAAATGAAGGTTTTCTGCAGGCTCCCTCATGGCTTCTGACTTGTCCAACACTCTGAGCTTGTCTTCTCCCACCCCCCTCTCTCATTTTTTTTAAATTTATCATTAGAGGAAGCCATAAGACACAGATGCAGATTTCCCTCCAAGGAATTGTTCAGGGTTTCAGCACTTGTGAAAGGAAGGCCTTGATGGTGTTAATGAGAGCAAATATAGGTCCCAAGGCACATGACTCAAAGCTACTGTAAGCCACTGTGATAACACAACAAATAAATGCGAGGTTTGAGTAAACAGTGTCTCAGCTGTCAACACACAAGTTACATCATTCATGAGCACAGTCTTCCCATCTAGTAGGAATGGGCAAGCGTTGGAAGATTCAGGATGGATTAACGAAAATACTTCTTTCACACTTACTTTTTTCACACTTTGCTCCCACAAGAAATAGTGATGGCCACCAATGTGAATGGCTTTCAAAGTGGCTTAGATACATTCATGGAGGATAAGTAAAGGTCTCAGTGGCTACTAGCCACAATGGCTGTGTATCACTGCCACCGTCAGGGGCATTAAGCCTCTGAATGCCACTTGGCCACTGTGAGACCAGGGTGCTGGGCTTGATGGGTTTTTGGTCTGTTCTTATGAGAGTTGGAAATGGAATGAGGCCAGGATGTGTTGGGAGGGGAACACATCTGGTGGATCTACTATGATAGATAAGGAAAGATTTTGGTCAAGAAGCAGGTAGCTGGGTACCCACTTCTGGATACTAGCAAAGTCCAACACTAAGCTGCAGAAGGCAGTGGAGAAAAGTAACAATGTGGCAGAGCTGGTGCAAGAGATTTTGCTGACTGGGGCAAAGGACATAATGGCACCCTCTCAGCATTCCATAAAAGAGGCTGACTGGACCAGAAGAGGAATCTAAACTTCAACGCAAGCAATGGGACATTATCCAGCGCCACTCCTGAGGACAGCAGGTTTAGGGGGCATACCGCACCCACAACAGAGGGTGTTAGTTTTCTGTGCCCTAGGAGGGTTTTCATTTATTTACTTATTTTAAAGTAGGAAGCTGTTCAGACATGCAATACTCCACCCCATCAGCAGCCTGAGGTAGTCTAGCCCAGCAACAAGCATATCATGTGAGGCTGCTGATAGTGTAGCTTGGCCCTCTATTATATGGGAACACTTTGTGGGAAATGGAGTCCCGAAGCCCGTGTACATAAATTTTTACAACACGGTAAGGTAGCGATGGTGGATTTCTAGCAGAGAGAAAGAAGGGAAGGAGAGGGAGAGAAGGTATACATTCATTTCCTCGCCATTTATTACTTTTTCATCAAAATGTAAATCGAGACCCAGGCAAAGGAATCAGATAGATAAGGCTGCAGCGAAGGAGAGACTAAAAGAGGAGATAATTACAAAGTGCCTGGGGAGGGGGGGAAAGCCCTTTCCTAATTCTTATTTAATGGCAAAGGGGACCATCCACAGATGTCAATTATACAGAAATGAAAAACTGTCTGGCTTCGCGATCAATCTGCTTCCAGAAGAGGCAAGCAAAACAATTTGCTTCTTGTAGACAAACGCAATAAAATTAAAAGGGGGGGGGGGGAATTGTTAAATCTTTTCAAATAACTGTGCATGTGTGCGCGCACAGTTACACATATATACATACACAAGAACAGACAAATCCAATAGTTATATTTACTGAGTAACTGAAAAGAAGCAGGATAATGTGTTAATTTATCAGTCAACCTGATTTGCCTGAAAGTAGGCAAATTCAATTTAAGATAAAGTGGCACTTTTATCAGCTCTGCTCCCACCCCCACGTGAAAAAGCATTTAGATAGCTAGGAAGACTGGTGCTTACATTGATCCTCTTCCATGGAGAAAGACTGAACATATGACATTGCAGATTGCTTTGCCCTGAGCTAGACCATCAATCCATCTGGCCCAGGGCTGCCCACTCCAGCTGGCAATGATGTTTCTTTTAAGCCATGCTACTTGAGACCCTTTCAAGTGGAGAAGCCAGAGGTTGATCCTGAAACACCCTTCACACAAAGCCAAGCTAGGATCTGGCCCTGAAGTTATATCCCTCTGGTGCCAGGGGCCAGGGTGGGCGTGCTCTGAACCCACAGCCCCATGAGCACACCATGCAAAAAGGCACAGTTGCTCTGTCACTGTGCAACATCACCAGGCATTCATCCACTGCAATAAGGACTGGTGGATGAAT